TAATTAAGTACTTTTTCTTTTTATTTCTTTTTTGTTTGGTTTATTCTTTCAAAATTTTCACACATTGAGACTCCTATTCTTCTTTTGTTGCTGTAAAATCTTATATGATTAAAAAAAATGTGTATATTAAAACTAGTAGCAGTGTATGATGTAGCATATAGTCAATGAGTTTAACTGATCTCAATATTTTTAATATGAAAAATATATATACAACAATACAACAATATACCCAGTAAAATCCCACTAGTAGGGTATGAAAAATATATATAGATGTAAGAAAAATATATATAGATGTAAGAAAATTACTATTTTTTTAAAAAAAATAATAATTTTGAACTTATAATTCCTAAAGTGCAATGGATACACAATCGTAAGAACTAAAGGTTGAACCTGTAAAATTTATATTCTAGATCCACCTCTTTTTAATAGTGCACCCATTCTACTAAAATCCTTGATCCGCCTCTACGCTTGACCACCCTTGGCATAAGGTAGCTACGCCACTGAATGACATGCATATTGACTAATTTTCTGAACTCCAACTAAAAATAACATTCCTCTACTCTTTGAAGGGGCGCTTTAGAACAACGATAAAATTATTTTTGTGTTTGTCACCCATAAATTACGAGTTCAAGCCGTAAAAACAGCCGTCAATATTTGTATTAAAATACATTGTCTATATCATATTTATTAGCCCTTAGAATGCGGCCTTTCTCCAAACTCGCGAGATATCTTATGCACCATCGTTTTACGTTCATCTTACTCTTTATTTTTCTCTCTAATTTTTTTTTTATGCTTTCAAGAAACTGCAATGGCACATGAAAGACAGAAGGGTGCTCTAATTTAGGGTTGTATTTAAAGACAAAAAGCTCGAAATAGAATGGTGAGGGATAAGAGGTACGGCCTCACAAAGTTATAAGAGAAAACTCCAAACACAATGATCATCATTTGTCAGATTTTCCTCTGAAGAAACTACTTGATTGGCTCCCTTCCTTCACAGATTCCCTTGCATTTTGGAATCCATATGATACTCATATATTTTTATATATTTATGTTTTATTTTTATCTTCTATTCTGGTACGACCAGACGAGAAAGTTGTGTGTTCAAATCGTGAAAACAGCCTCTTGCAGTAATGTTGCTGCGTACAATAGACTCTTATAATCCGAACTTTTCCTGAATCTCATGTATAACGAAAGCTAATTAGTGCACCGGGCTGTGCTTTTATTTGATATCCGGTATCCTTTCAGGGATCCAAATAATTCATATTCACGTCGTGTAATGTTTATTAAAGTAAAAAATGCTTATTATCAGAATTTTTTAAATTTTATAGTTCAAACTCGATTGACACCTCAGATTAAGGGTAGAAAGAGCAATTCATATATTTTACAAATATTGTCGATGTCTGTCACGTAGAGTGAGAATTAAGCAGAAAATTTGCTTTTGCAAAATTTTAATTAAAACATGGTAGTTAACGGAAATCAAACCTTTAGAAAAGTCAAAGTTTCTATATTAAGTATATCTTTTATCTCATATTTAATGAGTTTAACTTCTATACAATAATAATATTAAAAAAATAATATATTATCTGATTTTAAAAGATTATTATAGATAACTGCTCCAAAAAAGCGGAATTAGTTTTCTAAAAACTAAGATAAATTACTTGATATACTATATTATTTTCATCGTTCATCTATACTATTAGTATTGGTATATATAATTTAATTCTTAACCACAAATATATGTCATGGTAGGCAATAGATTCCATTCCAAATATCTAAGTCTTGAAAATCTCTAATCGGTAGCTTAACCAGGCTAGCAATAACTCTGTCCTTTATCCTCTATGAGATATTATTATCTATTGGAAAAACCACATGACCAACTATAAAATATAAGCTAATGATATTTTATTAATTTCTTTTCTTTTTATTTTCCATCGGATGTTCGGTATTCGTAATCGGCCTCCAAAAAATTAGGATTCGCACCGTATAAGGTCCATTAAAGGCGAAAACTTTTCATACTAATAACTTTTTTCATTTTAGGGCTAGAACCGAAGACCTCTTAACGGGCAACCTGATGCACAATTCACATAGAATCCAGGGAAGGACTGCATCCTAAGGGGATATAATATATGCAACCTGCCCATATACAAGCATCATCGACTGATTTCTCGGCTTGAACTCAAGACTTCTTATTTATAAGAGTAAAGAGATCCTATTCATCGATCACAATCCTCGATGGTATATGGTATTAATCACAGTTGTCAGCAGATGGGGTTCATTGGATTCCTTGTATTTAGGAAAATCTGGAAAAAAAAACAAAAAAAAAAGAGAAAAGGGTATGGGCATATTCAGAAATCAGAGTAATTAAAAGTTACTAAAGAAAGAGAGTTTTCCTCATGTCTTGGCCAGTGAATATTTTGTCGTTAAGTTCTTCACTGGCCACTTGCTATTGGCCATTTCTGTTATATCGATATATTTATTATTTTTCAATTCATATGCATCTGAATCTTTGTTGTTCAGAAAAGAAACTTTGGCACAACCTTAGGTTAAATTTGTTTATAAAATTTTGTGTTTGACATATGTACCTAAAATAATGCCATGTATCAAAGGACACAAAAGGGTACGTCAGATAGTGCAATCTTGGACATGGACTGATTCAGAATTTTAAGTTTATGGGTTTCTACAACGATCTCAAGTTAATATACATAATAATTGGATTAACGAAGTGGGTTCCAACCTAAATATTCTTATACCTTTAATGAATTTTTAGTATAAATACAGGGTCTATGCAAAAGTTACCGAGTTCACGAGAATCCGTAAACCTTGCATTAGATCCACCCATGATCTTGCGCAAACTTTCCAACATGTTGCCGCACCTATGTTGGATCCTTAAAAAATGTACTATTTTTGAAGGATTTGACACGCATACGATGATATTTTTATAGAGTTCGAGCAACATAGACCTGTGTGCAAGTCATGTACTCATACTTACGTTTCAGTTTATGTGAACGTATTTTCTAATTGTTTTGTTTAAAAAATAATAACTTCTTTTTAAATTTAAAAATAATTTAACTTAAATTTCTTATTTTTCCCTCAAAAGTAAGTGTTTATAGCCATACAAATGTTATAACATATTTCAATACCTCAAGCTTTAAACTTTTTTGGGCGAAATACTTAAACAATCCCTTTAAGTTGTCCCCAACGATCAGACAAACACCTTAACTAACCCCTTTACCATTTAGACACTTCAAATAGGCTACTAAGTGTGTCAAGTAAAGACATATTGCTTATGTGGCATATGCGTGTTTACTAACAACATTTTGAGCGTGTGAGTCATTTTTTTAGTACATCATAGGAAGTGTAACTCACGCATATGTTTAGCTGTGCGCGGGTGTTTACTTGACACACTTAGTAACCTATTTGAAGTGTCTAAATGGTAAAGGGGTTAGTTAAAATGTTTGTCTGATCGTTAGGGACAACTTAAAGGAGTCGTTTATGTATTTCGCCAAATTTTTATAACAGATATTCAAGTAATTGAATTGTTTGTGTATTAATTTTGATAATAATTAAAATAAATTACAAATGAATTACAGTAACATAAAGCTATGTGTAATCCTTCTCCAAGAAAGGGGGGAAATTCAAAAATAGCCAAATTTACAATTGGTCGTTCAAAAATAGCCCAGTTTCAAAAGTAATCGAAATTTAGCCACTTTTCATGTAAAAATAAATCTGAGCAAAAACACTGTTCAAAACTCGAAAAATACGCCAGTATATTATACTGGAGTTCCAGCATAAGTAAATATGATGGAGTTCCAGCATAAGTACACTAGAACTCCAGCATAATATACTGGAGTTCCAGCAAGTATAATTGTCCAATATAATATACTGGAGTTTGGAGCACCGGTGCTCCAGTCTCCAGTATATTATACTGGAGTCAGCAAAGTATACCGGTTCAGCATAATATGCTGGAGTTCATACACAAGTGCACCGAACTCCAGTATATTATGCTGGACCGGTCTCTGTTGTAGCAAAATAGTGGTTATTTTTCATTGACTTCGTAAACGCTGACTATTTTTGAATGATCAATCCGAAAACTGACTATACCGTGCTATTTTACCTAAGAAACTAATCACCTGTTTTGCCAGCCCAATAATCATTTTGTTTAGCCCAATAACCAAAGTTGGAGGCCCAATGACCCACTAGAGGATGAAATGTCCAGTCCATAAGAAACCCAATCTTGGAAGTTTCTGTGGGCTTGGCACATTTTGGATCTTGGGTGTTTGCACAAATAGGACACTTTGGTACCATTATTGATTTTTTGATCTCGTTTGACCCATGGGTAGTACTTTAAGTTTAACAAGCATTGACCCTCGCTTGCCCCATGGGCGACGCATTTGATTCTTGACCGTAAATATTTGCCCATGGGCAAGCAGGGTCAAAAAATCAAGACAATCCATTTTCAACGTCACTGAGTGTAATTTGTTATTAGATCTTTAGGCAACTTGGCCAGAGTGTCTGGAATATAAAGGTGGCTGATTCAGTAGGTGTGATGTTTGTAGCTTTATAGCACGTTTGGCGTATTAGCACTTACTATTTGCAAATCATTATGTTCAATCTTGGCTAATACATATAAATATTAAGTAATATTTTCATCTTATAATTTTGTTTCTCATTAGATATTTGGATGTTAACTATACAATGGAACTGAAGGAGGAGCTTTGCGTTGCGATTTGATTAGTTGATCTGAACGGGTGGTGCTGAAGACTATGATGATCGTCTAAACCTCACGTGACACACCATACAAGTAATGCCTCCAAATCTTAAGTGCATGCACAATAGTCGCCAAAAGCTACAGAATCTTAGTCACTTAATATAGGATATACTCAAGCTTTTTGGCAAAGGGACAATTTTTGTTAAGAACTCACATAAAACTTGATTAACATGAATGAGAATTTAAGGCAGACAATATCATGCTCTAAAAACTAGGCACAGAGCCACAGACAGTAACAAATAGAGAATCTCCTTTACTATCAAAATTCTGATCACTTTGTGCAGCAGTATTACAACAACACTACGCCTCAATCCCAAGCAAAGGGGTTGACTATATGAATCATCGATCACTGTCCATGTAACTCCATATAAGTTTTGTGCAACATCGGTGGAAATTTTTTTTTTCTTATATCTACCTCATAAGCAGTGGCCCTTCCCCGGATCCTGCATGAACGCTGGATGCCGTGTGCACCAGACTGCCCCTTTTTTCTTTGTGTACCTCATAAGCAGCTTACAAAATGAATAAATGACTTTCAGTGGAAACTAAAATCCAGCGGTAAACATTGACTAAGCTCATTAGTCCGAGAAAAAGCGGATGGATCTATTCATCATCTGATGGTAGAGTGGGACTTTTCGAGCAGATGTCGTTTGCATGAAGTTCCAACATTTTCTTCTCGGGATTACACAGACCTAAAGGATAAAATCAATGAAAGAATGCTATCAGATAGTCAATGTATGAAATCTTATCAAATTACTTGCAAAGTCATCTAGCTGGTTCTTCAATGGTGCGCTAATCGCACCAGATACCAGGGAAAGTAATGCTTATGGAAAAGGAGTTATACTACCTTGTTGGTTGACCATACTAAACGAATTTTGGGCATCTTGTATAAATGTCATTTAGTGTTTCATAGAATTTCGAGACGAGACAATGTGCAAGCAGAATACAGAGATCAGTGATGAAGAAACCAAGTGTCAAAATAGCCAATATATTTGTACATTAGCCTTGGAACAAAATCACATTATAAGAATGTTGCTAATAGTACATGTTGGATATTCTTTATAGCAATATGTGTACCGTGTATAGGAAATAGACCAAATCAAACAGTTTTTCATCTGAATTGCAAACGCTCGAATTTCATCATCCAGGATGCACCCAAGCGAAAATATTACTGTATTTGCTATGTGTTCCAACACAATTGAACACCACGAAAGCATATTGGATTGGTTCTTTTAAAGAAAGATTAGAGGACAGACCTGAACACTTTGGAATATCCCACACGGCAATAGAAGAAGGTGTACACTCTGGTTCACATAGTTGCTTATTATTCTCATGATTGACGTTCATTGCAAGCATCCAGGCACCAATGGTGACGTCCTCATTGCTAAACATTCGGAAACTGAGAATTCGTAGAAAAAAGGAATAACTAATTAGTGATCACTCCCTTTGACTAGAAACAAGCAGAGGCAGAAGGCTCAATAAAATAAAGAAATGTATCCCAGAAACAGTGATTTGAAATGATAGGCAAAAAAAGTGCATTTGAAAGGATATATCCAGATTTTTACAAATAAAAAACTCGTGCTAAATCTAGTTTAGTACTCTTCCAAAAGTTCATATATATTCCCAACTTAAGAATTAAAACATATCCAGATTTTTACAAATAAAAAACTCCGTGCTAAATCTAGTTTTGTGATCTTCCAAAGGTTCAAATATATTCTCAACTTAAGAATTATAACTGCAAAATGTACTGAAAAATTGTCTGTCTTCGATAATTCTAGTTTTACAGCAAAATCATCTAATCATGTCAAAAAAATTGCCTGCGCATCCTCTTTCAGTCTTTCTTCCCTATATTTTAACAATGCTCGACTTCCAATCAGTAACCTTAGCTCGGATGAAACAAGCTACTCCATTAGTTACATCTTTTAAAATTTCATGTTACCTGCACGGTGAGCTTATTTCAGGACCCTCTTACTCGATAAATACAGAAAGTAATAACCATTACTCAAGTTGGAGAAAAAGAGAAGCAGCAATTTGTGAATAGTTAGCAGATGTTCTTGAATTAAGTTTTACATCATAAACAACAAAAGCTTCCTCCTACTGCTATAGACAGCAAAAAAAAATTTTGGATGACAAAAATTACTTCAGAACAAATGAGTGACAGAAATATTTGAATAAATCGCACTTGCCTGTTGTTCCTCAGGGCAACCAAACTTGCAACGACATCAGCAGAGAGAGCATAAATAGGACCATAAGCATGCAGAAAATACTCCTTCCCCAGAATAGATGAAAGTGGTTCATACCTGTAGTAGTTGTACAGATTCATTGAGACAATACTGAGGATAAGAACAACAATAAACCTGATAATAGACAATACAACAACACATTTTTTATTCACATTTAGTCATTGGTAAGTATTCATCTACATCTTCTTTTTCTCATCATTGTCACAGGCTCCACCGCATCTATTAACATAACAACTGCTAATGATCATATTGTGGGTTGGTTGCTAATGATCATAAATAAATAAGAGGGGGAGAATACCTAAAATGAGAATCATAACTTCAGAAATACAATTTTGGGAATGAACTTGGGCATCTTGTTTTAGGGACATAACATTCGTTAATATTATTTATGCATTTTGTATGCCAAATTGGGAGGCGGGAATCACTTCTAAGTGTAACAAGCTTAAGCTTTCGTGTCTTGATTGTCACTGTGACTTTAGCCCTCAAAGGAAAAAGAAAAAAAAGGAGAAGTGGAAAAGGAAAAGTGAGAAGAATATAGTACATTCTGAACAAAGAAAATACCCACACATCAATAAAAATAGAAAAACCAACATAGAAAAAGGAAGAAAAACTTCTTTCCTATTTCTCTCCCTCTATTTTGTTACCTCAATTGGTTCTGATTTTCCCTGAGAAAGAGAAATACCTTTGTCCTTTACTCAAAGTTTAGTCAGAAAACCTTTTATGTTAAAACTTAAAATTAATGTTTTCATCTCTCAGTCTAAAAGAAAGAAAATTAAGCTTCTTTCCTGTTTTTCTCACTGTATTTTATTACTTCAATTGGTTCTAATTTGCGGTTCAGCCAGAGAAATATCTTTGACATGTACTCAGAACTTTTACCAGGAAACTAATGTTGATCTTTTCCAAGGAATGCTTCTCTCAGTATCAGTCTGCGTACTGATACTGACATAGGAAGTTGATGTTAAGATACGAAGTGAGAACAAGACGTGAAATTGACATCACACTAATAAAGAATACAAAAATGATCCACTGGATTCCATGCAGTACATTTATCTTGCCAATTATATCAGCATATAGTAAGCTCCTCTCAGACTAACCATTTGAGCTTGGGGTCAGTAAAAACTGGACCCTTTTTCATGCAACCAACGTATGTCTGTGAGTGAGACCTCTCTTTGGCCAAGAGCAGTGAAAGCCGATCTGTTCAATGGAATATCAGTTCATCAAATTTCTGTTAATCATTTCACATAGACCTCAAGTAAAGAACAAGAAGAATAACAAAGCTTCATAATTCTAGCTACCTGGCCGTAAATATATGTCATCATCAGCTTTGACGTAGAACTCGGAATCGTAAAGTGCATAGGCTGCTTTGAAGAAAGCTAAGCTGTAAAAGCATCTTGCATAAGTGTAAATCACGAACGGAAGGAAGTAATGAAAAATAATGTTAGAACTAACGTTTTGTATGGGAGCTTACTGTACTCTTCTTCAATATCTAATAGCACAAAATCATCATATTCTGCTACCTCTCTCCTGAGCGCTGACATCTTGGACTTATCACTCGTTTTACCAATAACAAATCTAAAAGCCAAGCCAGTGGATTCTTCTAACCTGCAATAATCATTCAGTCGATTCAGTAAAATATGGTCAAGCAGATTTCACAAATATACATATACAAGTACGTGACAGGACAACTACATATACATATATAGGAGACCTGGTTATTGCAAAAAGCTAGAGATAATATTTCAAAACTCAAGAAGAAGAGCTGAAAAGTGAATAGACAACAGGGTAATTTATTATAGAAAGTAGGAACTTCTGAAAGATTATATCTGGATTTCACGCAACCGTGATTCAAGTGTCTGCAGAAGTTAGTCAAAACATAAACAACTTTCTACAAATTTACTCTCGAAAGTTCTTCCAGCCAGTAAGTTCTTCCTTTTTCGTTTGTCCTTAAACTTAATGACTCTACAGTAAGTACTGTGCCATATTCCTTCCATTTTAGCACACTTTATATAAGCTACTAATCTAAATAGCCAGCACTTGACAAACGATTCAGAAAACTTGAACCTATTTGAAAGAGATTTCATTTTGGTTATAAATACAACAAATAAGTATTCCCACCATATCTTGCCAATATTAAAATATTATACAAGGTGTACTTTCCATTTTTAGAACAACAATATCAACCACATACTATAAGTATTCCTACTGCATCTTCGTTCCTAAAGCTACGTAAGCACAAAGAATCTGGCCTTTTGTTTTCATAAAGAAAATGTAGCTACGTTAGGCTTTCAAAGTAAAAAAGAGAAACCAAAGTTGGAGTAGAGAGAGTTAAAATGTGTCTATCAATCAACCAATAACTGATGTAGCTTGTTAGCTATAGGTTCAACTGAACCCAATATTTTTGACGCTAAACATGAATATAGGGAGTATGTGAAAAGCCACTAAATATTAACACACTATTACATTCTAAAGCCATAGAACTTTAAAAATTGAACTTATCACGTTTAAATCTTGATCCGCCTCTGCAATCAACTACCACTCAACCCAAACTAGTTGGGGTCAACATATTAATCAATTCTGCTCTACTCGCATCCAAGAGCGAGATCTGAAACAAAAATCTTATACCATATCCTCTACATGGAGTATGGATTAAAGAAGAGGTAAGGTTCTATACGCCAACGGTGTAACAAAAATTTACACAGTCAGGTCATTTAACTATAGGTAAATCTCTATAAGCATTAATTAGTAACCAGCTAAAGATTGTAACTAATTTGTTATCATGAGTTAAAATTCACTAATTCAGTTAAAAAATTCTTTAAACTATCATGTCCTCCCTCCGTCCCAATTTATGTGATGTACTTTGACTGGCACGGAACTTATGATCTAAACAACAACAAAAACAACTAGAAGCCCAGTAATTTCCCACAAGTAGGGTATTGGTAGGACAAGATGTACGCAGCCTTAACCCTACCCTAGCCTTACCTCTACCCTAGAAGAACACAGAGGCTGTTTCCGATAGGGGAACTTACGATTTAAAGTGACTATAAATATCTCGTTAAGGGTAAAAAATGAAGAAATGCAGGGTAAGGCTGGGTACTATAGACACTTGTGGCCCTTCCCGGATCCCGCGCATAAGGGAGCTTAGTGCACCGGGCTACCCTTTTCTTTCTAAATATAGAAAGATTTCGTTCTTCTTGGACAAACTAAAAGAGGAACTAAAAAAGGAAATTGCATCACATGAATGTATAACTTAAATCCATTAGAGAATATGTACATTTAGATATAGAAAAAAGGAAATTACTTTTGAAGCCCTCGGTGATCAGAGGGGAACCAAGTCTGCCTTAACGACCGCCGGCGAGCAACCGATCCAAACCCGGTCTGAATTCCAACAAAACCCATAACTTTTTGCCTCTTATATTCTCCATCAGAAAGCCCATTTCCTTCACTCAAAGTTCCATCCCAAAGAACAGAAACAGATCTGGGCTTAGCATATTTACAGTTGTATCCTAAACCCCGCCTCAAAATTACAATAAACCCAGAAAAAAAGCCAGTAAAAATGAGAAGAAAACATAGGATTAAGATTGTTGATCTGCGGGAGTTGGGGAAGTAGTACGAGGAGGATGTTCGGGCCGTGAAATTTTTTGGATATGAAGGCATTTTGAGGTAAAGGATTTTTTTTTGAGAATTGAAATTTAGAAGTTAATTTGAAAATAAAATGGTTATCTGATATTGGTTTTTAAACACTCGCTGTAGTGGAGATTGTCTCTTTGTTTCTGTTCTTTTGTCATCCAACTAAGCTAGTCGATTTTTAAAAAAAAAATTATATGTATAAATAATAAATAAAATTAAAATAATATGTATAAATATAAAAAATAACATTGCTTGAGACGAAGTACCTAGAGTGCAAGTATAATGTAGTGTCAAGGGGAGTAGATATAGACGTGAGGCTTAATCATAAGTCATCTCCAAGAGAGGATGAGGAGATTGACGAGGATATCACACACCTATAGGGGCGGGGTGGATGAAATGGAGGTTAGTATCCGACGTCCTGTGTGACAAGAATACGCCACCAAAACTTAAGGGTTAGTTCTACAAGGCGACGATTAGACCGGCTATGCTGTATGGAGCAGAATGTTGGCTAGTCAAGAACTCCTCCCATATTTAGAAGATGAGCGTAGCCGAAATGAGATACTGCGATGTATGTGCAAGCACCCTAGTCTTGTTGTTGTTATTTATTTGTTCTTGTTCTTCCCCTCAAACCGAGGGTCTTTCGAAAATATTCTCTCTGCCGTCAAGGTTAGGGGTAAGACTGCGTACACATTACCTTCCTCAAATCCCACTTGTAAAATCCCACTGAATTATTGTTGTTTGCTTAGAAAAATTAGTGCATGCGCCACTTAAATTAAGAACATTTGAAGTATGTTTTCCACGCCTTATAGCCTGTTTGGCCAAGCTTCTTTTTGGCCAAAAGTATATTTTTCGTCAAAAGCACTTTTGGCCAAAAATTGAGGTGTTTGGCCAAGCTTTTGGAAGGAAAAAAGTGCTTTTGAGGAGAAGTAGAGACAGTTTTGGAGAAGCAGAAAAAAGTAACTTCTCTGCAAAAGTACTTTTTTGAGAAAAATATACCTAGAAGCAGTTTTTTAAAGCTTGGCCAAACACTAATTGATGCTCATAAATGCTTTTCAAACTAATTAACCAAACACAAACTTAATTTCTTTAGTATAAGCGAATAACGCACAGAGATAGCTTTTTCTAACTCAATTTTATGGGTAGTCAAATTTTGTCTTTTCGACAACTACAAGATTTAAAAGGAAAAAAAAAAAAAACTAAATACTAGAGCTTTTAAAACCATCTTCAAGAATGTTTATGCAACGGACTGACTTTATCCGACTGAGGCCCTCAACGCTGAAAATGGGCGAATCGGGCTATCGAACTGCAAGCCCGAAATTCATTTCAGGCCCAAACATGGATTCGTTTAGCCCTCTCTCCGAGCCCATTTGGGCCCGTTCCGATTCGCACTTCTTCGATCCTCCGTCCTACTAGGGTCTCCAACGCCCGATTTTCAATTCCTTTCGCTTCTAGTTGTCTTCCTATGGCGTCCCCACCAAACCCTAACAACTCGCAGCCCGCCGCCGTTGACCAGCGCCGCCTGCAATTTGTTCCGGTTGATTTACCTCTCTCTTCTCCTGTAAGTACACCTCTTAATTCCTCGCTGTTGCACATCGATTTTGTGAAAGACAAGTAAATGAATGAGCATTTTGAAGAGAAGTTCTCTGTATTATGAATGATTCAATATTCAAAGGAAAAAAGTTGTTATTTTTATGCTTAGTGTAGCTTGAGTTCGTTTGATTTATCTCTGTGCAATCCTTTAGCATACAAACAATGAATTAGCCAATTAGGACACTGATGATTCATAAAAGCTAACTTAAATTTGAATTCAGCTGATTTTGGAGATTAGAGTGATCAGTGATGGATTTTGGATCATATTTTGAGCCTATTCGGGCTTTGATTGCAAAAAAAAAAAAAAGTCATCGACTTAAAAAATAGTACGTAACTTTGAATGGTCACTTGTCGTAGCAGGGGAAACGATAAATGGAAATGAAAAACTTCTTTTTTTGTTTAACCATCCAGTATCCGAAACACACACTGGTATGACTTATCCGTATTCACGCCGGATAAGCCACTATGGGGATAAAGTGCGCTCTACCTAGAAGTTCTCCATGCCCCGGGAAAAAGGGAACGAATAACTAAATAAGTTTAGAAATGGAACGTTGAAAACTTTTGCAAAATTTTCCTCCAGGAAACTACTATAATACACGTTTGATTACAATATTTTTGTTTTATGATTTCCATCTTGCTGAACCGTGGGAATAACATGAAATGAAACAATTATGAATATTAGTACAAGTGAGACATCATCGAGCAGTCCATAAATCAGATCGCTAATGAACACTGACGAAGTAAGTTTAAGAAAATGCTTATCTCTGAGAAGTACAAAAGAAAGCAATGTGCAACTAGTGACATGTCAAGCTTGATCCTTACTTAGATAAAACTTCAAGCCCAACTCTTTAAAGTACACTATAATAGTCAATTTAGTGCCTCACAAGGTATTATAACAACAACAACCCAGTATAATCTCACTTAGTGGGGTATGAGGAGGGTAATGTGTACGCAGATCTTACCCCTACCCTGGGGCAGAGAAGCTGTTTCCAAATAGACCCTCGGCATCCTTCCCTCCAAGAACTTCCCACCTTGCTCTTGGGGAGACTCGAACTCACAACCTCTTGGTTGGAAGTGGAGGTTGCTTACCATCGGAGCAACTCCTCTTGCCTCACAAGGTATTATGCATTCTCAAAAAGGCAATGGTTGGCCACATGGTTTGTGATAGCATGTAGTATCCTCTCTAAAATATGTGCGCAGCTTCCGTTTTTGGTATGTGGTGTTGAGTTATAGGATCTTCTTTGAGGCTTATTTTCATAATAATTTAGCCAAAAATAATAGACCTGTTGTAACTGATATTTTGTTAAATGAATTTATACATGTTTTCAACACTACCCTCCCCAGACCTCACTAGTGGGATTATACTGGGTTGTTGTTGTTGTTGTTTCAACATGGAGTGAAAGTTATTGAGACATGTAAAGAGCTCAAAGTTTGGAGATACACTTGCTTTTGTAATTAAGTATCTTGTGTGCTTGCGTGTTAAATGTTTAACGTACATCAGCTGCTTTGAATTTCCTTTGTTGATTCATATTTGTAATGTGGTTGCTTTTCTTTAGATGGTAGATGCAAGTCCTGACGCCATAGTGGATATAACCAGTCTGACTGAAGCAACCACAGGTGAGAAACGAAAAAGAGAAGGAAGATTAAGATCTATCGTTTGGCAACACTTCACGAAGCTAATAAAGGAGGATGGAACTTGTGAGAAATGCAAGTGTAATCATTGCCATAAACTTTTTACTTCTTCAACCCGAAGTGGAACTACTCATTTGCTTCGTCATATAAGTGAAGGAATATGTCCTGTATTTAAGAAAGTCAAAAAGGAAAACTCGCCAACAGTTTTCAGCTATATGAGTGGTAGCATAGACCGAAAAGTTGGTATTAACCCTTGGAAGTTTGATCAAGAACTGGATCATGCATCCATGGAACAGTCAATTGATGCGCACGATGATTTGTTGTCGGTGGGATTAGATGATATTGAACGTCAAACATGCACTACATCAGAAGGTGACTATGGTCGCCAAACATCAATGCCCGTATCTTATAAACTTCCTCAGCAGCCTGCCATGAAGTCCCAGCCTATTGCAGCATCATGGATGAGTGAGTTGAGGACTTGTGTAGGTAAACTCGTTGAACTCACAAATGAACGAGTGTCAAAGCCTAGCGTGGATAAGACTTGTGTGACTGTTAGCACACCCGATTTATCTATATCTTCTGTTGTGAAGTGCTTGAATGAGATGGAGGATATCCCACAATCAAGTGCAATGTATTTAGATGCGTTGGATATCGTAAGGGATCCAGAAGAAAGAGAGTGTTTCATTTGTTTAAACCCAGAGCCGCGTAGGAGATGGCTGCAAAGGATGTTACATCGTCGTTTTCCCTTACGCTATAGCACCGATGTTTGATCAACTGTAAGTACTCAACAACCAACTGCTAAAAAACAATCAGCTTCTGGGAGAATATCATTTGATAACCGTGACGACTTTACATGAACAGTTGTTTTTGTTGGTTAGAACTGGAAAGATGCTTGACCATGTTTGTTATCAAAGCTTTGGTGCTGTACAATTTCTGTTGTTTCAAATGAGAATACATACTAGAAAAACCGAAAGTATTTGGAAGCTTATTGATTGTGCTATCTGAATATCAAGAATAAAGAAGATTTATTTGCTACATGACTACATCTAATGCTAGGCCCCTAGTTCTTGTTCTTGGTATGAACTCAGTAGCGAGGCTTAGGCTACCAAAGTTCGATCTAGTATGGCGACTTCATTAGTCCATCAACGTTCGTGCAACGACGGCGACGACCCAGTAAAATCCCACAAGTAGGGTCTGGGGAGGGTAGTGTGTACGCAGATCTTGCCCCTACCCCAGTGGGACAGAGAGGTTGTTTCTGATATACCCTCGGCTCAGGAAGACGGAAAGAAACGAGAAGAGATAATATATCAGTACCGTCAACAAAAATCATAGAAGTAGTAACAACATCATAAAAATCAGAAAATAGATGACATGCAATAACAATAACCAGTAATTAAGGTCCGGTGCTATGAAAAACAGAAGGGTAGTGTGAACACAACATTAATCACTAGCGGTCTAAGATCAACCCTATCAAACTAGCCTCACCCCCGATACGACGTAGAAAAAAAACCCGACTACAACCCTAGTCGACCTTCACACCTTCCCATTAACATTCGTACAATAATATATTTCTTATGCTTACCTAGAACAACTCATATTAACTAATTAGAATAAAATATTGAACTATGGGTAACTTTGAATTTGACCTTCGTTTTCAAATAATATGATGGTGGCGTCGGAAATCGCGTAAATTCCAGTAGTGAAATATTATTAGCTTTGCTAATGAGAACAACATAATGTTCCCCACGAGCTGCAGTAGGATGAATAGAATTTATCATTCTTAACTAGAAGTCTCGATTCGAACCTGAAAATAGAAAAATCTGATGGGGAGCTGCTTTACACGCGGATCTAGATTAGTTTTGACTAGGGGTGGACATAGTTTGGGCAAAGTGGAAATCCAAACCGAAATCCAAATTTTTTGAATTTTTGGTTTGGATTTTGGATTTAATTTTTAAATTTTTTAAATTTCGGATTGAATATTGGATTTGGTACTTCGAATTTTTGGATATCCGAAAATTCGAAATTCTTATACTTTATATTTAGTCCATTATCCATATGTCAATAGTAATAAGTTCAATATTCTACCCACTAAATATTATCTCATATATTCAATATTAATTACTAAGTTACTGTGGGAATACTTTATATTTGGATATGGTCATACTATTTCTACTTCTTATCGGTCGTATTAATATCTCTATTGTATTTTGTTGATAATAATTTCATTACTTGAATACTTCATTTGGATGATTGCAGTGAGAATGAGGAATTTTTCACGCAATTTAACATGAGTACTTCATTTGGATATTCATTTATGTAAAAGAAGAAACATCTCAACTTATAAGCTCAAAATTGAAAATCCAAAATATCCCAATCGATTAATTCGAAATCGAACTTAAAAATCCGATCCAATTTGAACTTATTTGGATTGGATTTGGATTGTCATTTCTTCAAACCGAAAATCGAAAATCCAAATCGAAATTTTTATATGCAATCCGAACTGTCTGAACGCCCACACCTAATTTCGACTCTATATGCGGATATCAACTACCAAATGGTAAACAAAAAAAATGTGTACATAGACGTGTCATAACATGGTGTAAAAGAAAGGGAGTGCTAATTTTTAATACTTCCTCTCTTTTGCCATTTTGCTTTCATTGTGTTGTCCTTTGATTATTTATTTTATTTTGTAGGATGATAAGCTTATCACGTTATAGTACGATAAAAGGCTGATAATTTAATTTCAAGAAGAAATAATAGTGCTAAGCATTGTGTAATGTTGAATTATAGGGGTATTTGTATCTATACCAGATTTTTGGGTCACCATTTAATTTATATATGCTATGCACAAAAAATTGCAAGTGTACCCACTTTTCAGGTAACTTCAGATATACAGGCCTGAAGTACCAAAAATTTATGTCTGAAGTTTGAACTTCAGAATATTTTGCCTGAAGTGTAGCCTTATCAAAGCAAAACTTCAGATATTTGCCTGAAGTTTGACCTGACTTGCAAAGGCAATCACACAAACTTCAGTTCATAGTGCAAGGGGAAACTTTAGTTCAATTGTGTATGTCTGAAATTTGAACTTCAGAATTCTTTTGCCTGAAGTGTAGCCTTATCAAAGAAAACTTCAGATATTTTTGCCTAAAGTTTGGCCTGACTTGCAAAGGCAATCAGGCAAATTTCAATTCATAGCAAGGGCAAACTGCAGTTCAATTGTATATGTCTGAAGTTTGAGCTTGAGAATTTTTTTGCCTGAAGTGTGGCCTTATTAAAACAAAACTTCAAAATATTTTCACCTGAAGTTTAACCTAACTTGCAAAGGTAATCGGGAACTTCACTTCATAGTGCAAACTTCAGACAAATTAGTCTGAAGTTCTTCAATTTGTAGTGCAAACTTCAGGACAAAATCAGCTTTTATATCTGAACTTCAGAGTGCAAATTCCACATCAATGATGTTTTGAGATTTTCAAATTTTTGCCCAGCAATATATAACATAACCTGGAATTTTGAGAGGGAATTTCTAGAGAACTCCCCTTATACGGCTAGAAACAATAGGTAATGCAAACAACAAAAAAAGAATTCAAGGAAAAACGGTCAGCTCAAAATCACTGACATCCTTCTACACTATTTATCTCAAAGAGCACAACCTCTTTGAAAAGGGAAAAAAATAATAGGTTTGGTCAGATCCTAAACTGAACTGCTCTCGGCCTCATCAGAAAAGAAGAGGAGGAAGAAAGGAGCGCATACGTCAGGAGGAAAAATAGGAGGCGTCTGAAGTTGTTAAAATAAGGGTATTGGTTAAATAATTTTAAAAATATAGGTATAGGTTAAATGGGGGCGACTAAATAGGACGCCCCGTGCAATTTTTACTGAATTATACGGGTGTTTACATTTACAAATAATTACATCAAATTTAGCTTATTAGCCCCAAAAAATAAGTAACGTCGTTAACTCAAACAAGTACCCCATCGTTTTAATTTATACTTCCTTCGTTCACTTTTACTTGTAAACTATACTAAAAATATATTTTTATTTTTACTTGTCAATTTTAACTTATCAAGAGAAACACAATCTTTTTTCTTGTTTTACACTTACCATTAACTACTTATTCCTCAAATCATTTCTCAAATTTTTTTAAAATGTTTTCATTATTATGGGTAAGACCGTAAAATATATACTCTATTTATTTTTTCTTAAAGGGAGTACAGAAATCAAAAGTGAACAGAGGGAGTATTACATGGTAGTAGTTTGCTCACCACGGAGTTTAAAAAAACAAATGAAGAAGACTTTTAAAACAGTGGCAGCTCGATGGACGTGGAGGCCTAAAGCCAAAATATATTAAGAGGCCCTTAAACTTCTTTCACAAAAATCATAAAATAATGAGACACAAAAGAAGTTTACACAACTTTGATTTAGCGGTGAGAGCATAGCACGTGATGTGTGAGTTAAGCACACACTACGATGTCGAACTCTCCCCTACACAATAATATTATATTTAAATGAAAAAGGATAGAAGGGTAAGCCCATTATATATCGGGATAAACGTTACGATCCTTATATTCTTAGTTAAAAAAGACGGGGCGCAAATAATTAAACTTTTTTTTATTTTTTATTATGTATGAAACAATCAAATGTGACAAAAGGTATTACTTAGGAGTAACTATGAACAGAACATAAGTTCATTTGTTTTTTTTTTGGTTTCTTTCTCGGTGTTCGGTATCCGCATTGGAGTCCGATTTTATTCGGATTAGCGCCGTGTAAGGTCCCATTCGGGGGAAAACGCTCCCTATCAAGAATTTTTCCATACCCAAAGCTCGAACCCGAGACCTCTGATTAAAGGCATAGCAGCTCATCCGCTGCACCAGAGTTTGACTTTGTTCCCATAATGTTACGTCTCTTTTTTCAAAAAGCTTTTAATGTTTTATAATTCCGTACGAAGTACTTCGAAATAATTTCTTTTATCGTTCTTCAATTGTCAATTTCGATCAAAACATAAAGGAATATTAGACGTGGACTGATTAACTTTTTAGACATAATATTTACACTTAAAAAACTAAATACAAGACAAATATTGGAAATTATAGTCAAATATTATTTTCTTAAATTCGTAAAGTCACAATCTCTTTAGAATACAAGGTGCTTTTTATACTTATTTCTTGAACTTCTTCTGCATTAAAACTATAAAAAAATTCTTAAACAAGTGATCAGTAGATGGATTTTATTTTAAATGGCTAATCTTAACTAGGTTTGAACGTGTATTTGGTTGGAGTTTTTTTTAATTATTATATATTTCGGAGAAGAGTTGACTCACTTGTTTTTTTTTAAAAGAAAAATGCAGTTAACTTATTGACCATAATTGCTCTTTCTCTTTTCTTTCGTTTTTTAAGAATTAACCTAAATAGTTGTCAACCCTATCGAAATTGAAGCTAAGATGACAGGCCTATCGCCATTATTGGCTAACCTTGAGTTCGCATAGAAAGAAGAAAGGAAGATTCTAAAGAGATGATGAAAATGGGAATTTTTTTTGTGTATATTTCATCAACTAACTTCAATACTTATACATGTATATGAAAAGGAAAACTAACAACGTATAACATGCATATGACAGCTAATTACCAAACTACCCTTGCAACTAACTCAACTCCTAAGCTAACTAACTGACTAACTAACTCTACTGACTAACTAATAAATACAATACAACAATATACTACAACTCCATAATCTCAATACTCCCCTCAAGTTGGAGGTGAGGAACCCATTGCCAACTTGTGAAGAAGATCTGAATGCTTTATCCCTGTGAGAGCCTTTGTAAAATGTCAGCTAACTGATCATGAGTAGAAATATGATGAAGTGTAATCAGACAATCATGTAGCTTGTCTCTCACAAAGTGGCAACCGACTTCTATGTACTTTGTCTTCTCATGGAACACAAGGTTCCTAGCAATGTGGACATCTGCCTAGCTATCACAAAAAACTAGAATAGGATTAGTATATGGAACTGTTAGTTCTTCCAACAACTGCATCCATAGCAATTC